TTGTTCTTGTCCTGTTTAGTAATTCCTGTCACTGAACTAGGCTCCATTGAATGTGTCCATCTGTTAACCCTTTCCGCTCCACAAAGTAGCGTTGCTCTGCTACTTGTGGCAAGCACAAGTCCAAAGCATAATCCTTGTGACTGATTTTCAGCTCTAGATGTCGTATTAGAGAGGTTAACAACATTTGGCTCCTGTGAGGACCTCTGTCATCTATGATTTAAAGGCGAATTTATTCAGACTCCCATATTAGCTGATGAGCAGACTGAAATTTCACATGCATTTCTTCAGCTCCCTGAAAGTCTCTGTGCAATAGCCTCCCCAGCCCCCCCGATTTCACTTTTGTGACACCCAGAAGTTCATGAGTGAAAAGCTTCTGGTTCTGAGCACCACCCTCACTCTGAAGAACAGTTTTGGAATAAAACTGTCACTTCTAGAAATAACGTCTCCTGCTAATTTGCCTAGGGAAAAAAAAGGCTCTGCAAATAGCAAAACCCTCTGAATGGGAGAGTAATTACATTAAATTAAGCCTTATTTCTGGTTAAAAAAAAAAAAAAAACAAACCACCCAATCCTAAAAGCATGTTGTGCAGACTGGAAGCATTAGAGTTAAATACGGGCCATTTTATAGTGAAAGGGAAGGAAATAGACAGGAGGAAGGAAGGAAGAAGAGATTAGAGATCTGACAGATGTAAATAGTCTCAGAGGAGCCACTATGTCCCAAGGCCGCTCCTAAGGGAAGTTTTTAACACCAAAGAATCTGGTAGCCTGAATGAAGAATGACATCACTTATTTATTTAGCCAGCGCTGAGCTATTTTCTTAAGACATAGAAATAACCTCATGCCACAAGCATTAAATTGTTGGCAAAGTGATAAAGATGTCTACTTAATTTAGGGGCTTGATAACCACTAAGTAAATACACTTTTATTCCTTGGTTTGAGAGTACATCTTAAATTGCATGGAAGAGCATGAATAAGCTTGAATATGAACAAACTCAGCCTCGTGTGGGAGTCTTCAATGGGGAGATGCACACCTTTGGATTTGTAACTCAGTCCAGGAGTTGGGGCTGCTTTGCTTTGAGATGAAGATGATGATATTACCCCTATGGACACCAAACACAGACTAACAATCCCACTGCCCAGATGCTGCATAAATTCCTAAGAAAGGGACAATTTCAGTCCCGAGGGCTCAGAGTCCGAGTGTCATGACCACCCCAGCTAGACCAGTTCTAACTGGAAGCCCAGTAGCCAATAAAAAGTCATTCACACCACAGACAGCCTCACCTAGGATGGCTAAAGCCATGGCCATGGCACTGATGTGAACCATGCAGCCCCTGGTAACACCAGGGAGAAGCGGGGCTGGATGGATTGCAGACCTAGACGCTAAGTGTTCAAAATGCAGTAAATAAAGGTCATGTAAGATGCTTTTCTCATTCCAGAGCTGCAGATTTCTTCTGTACTTTCATCTGCAGTTCCCTAGACAGATTATGTCATCCCAGCTATCAGGAGCAAATAAAGGGCATTTGCTCTTAAAAATGACCAAAACTGTCAGGGGTGACTAGAGTGTTTAGGTCCTTCCATTCAGGGACACTCATATCAGGATGCCCGCGAGATTCATGTACTCTGTGCACCCAGAGTTGATGGAAATGGCCATAACCCAACCCAAACTGACCCAGTCATTGATAACTGGGGAAGAACAGTCGCAGTCTTCTCCCAGCCAGCTGGTGAGAAAACGCAGAAGAGCCCAGGCAGTTGGAACAGCAGAGAATTGCGGCGCCTGAGTCCCTCTTGATTTGATCATTGGAAGAAGGCCACACTGTAGCCTATCGCCCTCTGCGTTGTTTCCCTAAGTGGAAACATGGTCCAGTGGTCTGAGTGCGGGACAGTGAAGCAGAAGTAATCTCATAAGGCAGTCTCTGGCAGTGAGGCCATTTGTGACTTTTAAGTGGCTCATTTAACTATTACATTTTTTCCTATCCGTAAACCCCAAATATTAATTGTAACCTAATTCCTGGAGAGGGTGTAATTACTTGTAATGTACTTTTGTTGTGAGACATGCTGCCTACATCTGCATAGCGTTGTTCTTCCAATTGAAGCCTTCTTATCCTTCCATTTCTTATCATCCCAACACGTCAGGGTAGCACCACTAGAGTGCAGAGTGCTTTATCAACAAAAACAGCTACGCCCTTTCCAAAAGGTATTCTAGTGCAATCTGGATGTACACTGTGATGCGGCAGAGGCAAGATAACATTTTGAAGATTGTCTTTATACTTTCTTGTATTTTTATTTCAGAATTAGCAGGGTTTGTGCTGTTAGACTTGAGATAACAGCGTTCTTCTTATGCTCGCGTGAGAATAAGATTCAGTTTGGCGTTAAAAAATACAGAAGAGCAGCAGATTCCCTGTTCAGTGAAAAGACAACAGAATGTCGTGAGCCATGCCTGTGTAACACTGCGGCTCTTAAAACCCGCCATCGTTCAGTGTGCAGACCATTCCTGTGGGTCTGGGAACAAGAGGGAGTTGTCCATCACTTCACATAAAATGGGAAAGCGCACAGTGCAGAACTGCCCTTTGGCAGCTCTCAGGCTGAAAGGGCAGCAGTTTTACAGGGCCGTTGTCCTGTTTTGTGTACCTGGGTAACATCAGATGCATTTGTTGCAAGTTCAGCAACTTGGACTGGCCTTACTTTAAACTGTGAGCTCCATTGCTTGCTTATTAAAGGGAGTTTCAGTTTATTCAAATTTCAGGTTACAGCTGCACAGCATGTTCAATCCAAACTCAAGCTGCATACAAATATTTTCTATGTTAAGACTTTTGAGTCTGTTTACTATAGAAAAATTGTTATGGGCATCCATATACTGCCCTAATTTCAGGCAACAAGCTAATTATAAGTTGATGTCATATGGCTAAAAAAAAATACATGTTTATTCCTCCTGAATTTCGTGATGCTGACTTAACCGCATTTGCAGAGCTCACACACAATGTGTTTGCTGGGCTAGAGCCTGACTGGATAGAAGTTAATGTTCTTAATTGTGCAATGTGTAATTAAAAAAGTGGTCTCTCGTGCAAGAGCTTTGTGATTTTGTGGATATCAGCAGGCCATTTGTTTTGCCTGTGAGTTTATCTTTCACTGAACAATATAGTCATCAGCAGAATTGTATTTTTATAAGATAGATACGGAAATAAAGTAGGCACAGTGGCAGTTTATTGTAAGCCAGTATGTGACTGAAAAAGCACCATGGTTCATTGTCTACATGAGCTGGAGAAAAGGCGGAGGGAGGAGGGACGACCAAAAAAAAAAATCTTTGGAGCAGATTTGCAGAAATACACTGATCTCTGTCTGCAAATGAAACTCGGTTTTCTTTTTCTTCTGAACTGACCATTTTGGCAGCTGTTCCCTCCAGCTAAATAAAGGTAGATTCAGTGATCTATTGCTGCTTATAGTTCAGTAGCACCTAAATAATGTGCCATTTGATTGCAAACATGCTGATGGAGAACTTCACTCTTGCCTGAAGAGTTTATAGTCCTGAAGAAAGATTATTTAATACTCGCCTAAAAGGAGTGTGGAAGAGGTTTCTGCTCCTTATAATGCCCCTCTGGAATACACCTTACATTGAAAGAGCCCGTCCTGCGAGTCGCTTACGTTTCCAGCAATGTTTCGCTTGATGTAAGGACAAACTGTGAAGGTGCTCTGTTTCTAGTTATGTCTCTTGTGTGTTACAGCATCAGCTTTTTTCCCTTTGGCAATAAGTGGAATTGTATAGATTTGATGTGAAAGACAAACTGAAATATTCGGCAGACACTGCAAGGAGCTCATTCTCAAAGCCACAGTTAGAGCAAGCCAGTGTACCTGCAGACTGTTTACCTATTCCACTTATCCTGTGGTAAGAAACCAGTGAGCAGCAGCTGTGAACAGGATGGGCGTTGAGACAAATATAGTTTTAAGTGCCTGAGGACACCTTGTCCATTGACCTTCTTGTTAAAGCTTTTATACGTGCAAAGAACCAATCATTACATTGTAAGTCAGTCAACTGCAAGATTCTGGACAGCAGAAAACTTCTGCACTTTTAGTAAAAGAGATCTGTGCGGGAGGTTGTGGGGTTTTTTTGTTTTTTGTGTTTTTTT